AGCACCCTATCAATGAAAGTGCCTTCGTCATATTAAGTCAGGCAACTTGTACATTGGTATATTGATAAACTCGCAAACAGAGGATGAAAGGCTTTAAAAACAAATAATATATTAGTGGAGAGAAAAGAAAATTGCTTCCTTAACCCCATAATGCCAATTTAACAATTACGTTACATCTGAAACAAGAGATTGTTAGGCCATGCATACAGAATTTATGGAGCCACTCCTGGTTGTGGAGGATTTGTCACGGTTTACTGAATTTTGAGGGGTAGCAACACAGCCATTCTGGCATATTATTCTCCTAATTTTTTTTCCTATCAGTAAGTGTTGTGCTTGATAGAATTTCTATTGTTAGGCACAACCTTTATGATTCTATAAATAGGAAGAAAGTGAATAATATGAATGAATAAAATCCGTCTTTTATGACAATTGTTCAAACGTCTCAAATTCAATTACAGTACTGTACTTTGTTGTGTCTAAATACAGTTTTCTATTGGGATATAAAATTCATAGATGTTAGTACTGTACTGTCCATGATAAATCTTCCTTCACATGGTGATCAGATAGGAATTACACTTTCATTTAAATAAATAAATGAATTCATCTATAAATAATACAGCATACCACACCTTTGAGGATGGGAGCTAGCCCTCCAAATTTCCACCTTCAGGATACCTATGGTATACTGTGATCAGTAAGACTGGTTAACCAATTTTTACAACATAGAATTGCAAACGTGTGTTCTGCCAGCAATCTTGGAGAAGCCTGGAAGGTGAAAGCAATACTGTATATACAGGCTGGCGAGGAAGGATCTAGTTCATGGAGTTTGTTTAGATAAGCATCCATTGTATTACAGTACAGGTATTTGTAAACAAATATATTGTATATGAAAGTAGACAAGAGCTTTTGGATTTGACTGAAACTGGATACATAACAAAAGGCAAATTAGTTTTTATTTTACCAAAGGATCCTTCTTACATTTATGCCAAAAGTCTCTTAGTATGCTATCATGCACTTGCAAACTTCATTGCCCATTAACTTGCACTTTCATGGTCTTAAAATTAATTTTTACTCTTTTCTACTATACAGTATCTTGTACACAGTAAATAATTGCATGTCATGTCTATTTGTTTTATATAGCTAACAATAACACTTAGTTACTTTGCATTCATTTATATAATTGCTGCCTGGTTCTTCTCAAGTGAGGGCGTGTGGTAATGGTTTGTGGGTAGAATGTGTGAGGAAATTTTTGCAACTGCTACCTTTCCTTACATGAGTGAAAAGGCAGCAAGAAGTAAACTAAAACTACAAAATTAGTAACACTGTACATTAATTAAAGACTCCATAAAACAATACATATGGCTCACTACTCTAGCTCTGTGCAAAACCCACATATTGTGCAAAAATTGTGCCAAGATTCTTTACAGTGCAAATTAAATAAATTATCAATGCTATAAATTATTAAATCTATAAATACAAATTACTGCACTTGATTGTGAAAAATATTATATACTGAGACAACATAATACTGCTACCTGATAACATACACGTATCCCCTATTTACGATGAGATTGTAATCCTAAAAAAAAAAAAACATCGCAAGTCGAAATCTCGTAAATCGGAATCATTAAAACTTGGGGTTCATTGGGATATGTTCCCAGCCAGTCTGACACTCACATTTGACATCGAAAATAAAATTCCAACAATAATAATAGACACAAAACACAATTACACAACACTCACATCATTAAGAACATGCCTGGTCGTCATCACATGTCCCCTTCGAGGCTAAGGGGATTCTTGAAGGTGGAGTAGAGACGTCACTCTCGACTCCCTCAGTTTCACTTCCAGAGACACGGTTTTCCTGGGTGCCTTCCCAAACATTTTCAAAATTACATTAATCACTTTGGTCACAAAAACTGAGCCAACGATGATAACGTAAAAACAATGATAGCAGCCGACACTTAACATAAGAAAATAAGGAGTCTGCATTAGGCCGGTTGGCCTGTGTATGGCAGCTCCTGTCAAGAGTTACTACCACTCTCTATCATCCATGAATCTATCCAGCCTCCCTTTGAAACTTTCCAGCGTTCCAGCACTTACTACAAAGTTGCTAAGCTTGTTCCACTAGTCCACCACCCTATTTGTAAACCAGTTCCTGCCTATCTTCCTCCTAAACCTAAACTTATCCAACTTGAATCCGTTGTTCCGAGTCCTGTCCTGCTCGGATATTATAAGAACTTTATCTATATCACCTTTATTGATTTCTTTCACCCACTTGAATACTTCTATCATATCTCCCCGCACTCTTCGTCTTTCTAGGGAATGCAAGTTTAGTTTCTTTAACCTATCCTGATATGGAAGGTTTCTAAGTCCCGGAATCATTTTCGTCATTCTTTGCTGCACCGACTCTAGTGAACTGATATCCATTCTATAATAGGGGCACCAGAACTGAACCGCATAATCGAGGTCCGGCCTGACTAGCGCAAGATATAGTTGCAATAAGACCTCTGCACTCTTATTACTTACACTCACATCATATTCAGAGACAAAGGACTTTAGTCACAAAAAAACAGCAAAAACCACTTCACAGTCATCAAAACAGCATACAGTACAATATGAACTTTAGTGATGTCCTCTCACTGTAAAGTAAAAAATAAATAAATAAAAAACACCGATGATCCGATGATAAGTAACAATACCAATACTGACTGATAGTCATTGAATTACATGATCACAAGCATGTGTGATCACCATGGAACAAAGCTTGGGACTGTACTGTAATGCATCGGGTGGTCGCGTGCAGGTAGATCGCAGCTGATAAGCGCAGCGAGAGATGTGTTCCATAATACGTGATGACCCTCATTCATGCGATTTTTTTTTTGCGTAAATAGGGGGATGATCCTAAGACATCACCAACGTTCAAGAGAAATGTCGTAAACAGTAGAGGGAGATTGTAAATCGGGGGATACCTGAATCTAGAATATTATCAGTAAAACAAGTCATCTTAAACCTTACAACAAAATTAAATAATAAATATTAATATAAAGTTGAATACAACAACTACCATAATTAATACATCTTCATTCGGGAAATAAATATGTTAAGTGTTGTGATTATTACAAGTTTTAGCTGACATGTGCAACACACACTTAAAAAACATAAGAGTCCCAAAAGTCTGATCTCATCAGGAAAATAGACATTAAAATCTTAAAAGTTATACAAACACATTTCTAATATTGGTTTCAAATAGTTCAGGAAATAGTAGTTTATTACACAAATCAAGAAAAGGTGGAATTGTGTTGTTACACATTTCTAGAAAAGCCAGAGGGAGACAAGTCAGTTATCATACGAAAAATGCCACCAGGAGAATGAAAAGTGGAGCAGATAAAGTAAGTAACTGTGTGTGTGCATGTGTGTGTGTGTTAATAATGATATAAATAATAAAACTAATCATTGCAATATAAATATTACAGTACTTAATACTGTAACATGAAAGTGCTTACAATCAACAAAAGGTAATGACCCATCCTGACACCACCATAAAAAAGTGAATACTGCACTCAACACACTGAAGTTGGCAAGTAAAAAATACCCAGAATAATTTTTAAATACCACTGTACTGACCTAAAGGCATATGCAGTATAGTGAAGTCTCACTTAACCAGACTTTAACTGTAAATCTCCAGACACTGAATTTGGAAAAGCTGTCAAAACTGTGGGTGAAATCAGTGGCACACCAGCATTGGGATGGTGGACCTGTGGAAAGTGTGCCCACCATGTAACTTCAAAGGAATCAGTTTTGAAGCAGACCTCTCCCCGTCTCCTTATGCATATCATTTGACTACTACTTGTGTATGTCACTGCTAAATTTTACTAAAAATAGGGACTGTACAGTCAGCCAAAGATCCAGCGGCCTCAACCTGAGTCTCGTACTGGCAATTTTACCTGGCAATACTTGGTAAAGTAAGGCTGTATGTAATGATGATTGTGGTTGGTGGATCTATTTTGGGCTGTATCACTGTCAGGATAAATATTAAACAATCCAAAGATAGAATTTTTGTAATAAAAAACTTTCATCGTTATTTTAGGTCACGAGAAGTTTCCCTATGTTCGTATATTTACTTCAATAATGAAAAAATTCGATCTGAGAATCTTGTGGCACCCCTCATTGTAGTTGAGTTGCCAATTCATTATTTAAGCAAATATACAAACGCATGGAAACTTCTCTTTATCTAAAATAGCAATGAATACAGTAGTTTATTCTTAAAATTTCTACCTTTGGATTGATTTATATTTATCCTGAAAGTGAAACAGCTGAAAATAGATCCACCAATCACAATCATCATAACATACAGCCTTACTTTACCAAGTATTGACAGGTAAAATTGCCAGTACGAGACCCAGGGTGGGGTCACTGGATCTTTGGCTGACTGTACATTCAGCAAATCTCTTCTGAGCTGTACTAACAAAATAGGGGTAAGTACAGTATTGCAATTAATCCATTGCACTTTACACAAATTTGACAAGATAGCAATGTCTCAAACCTTTTGTAAGGATGTACACCTGACGCTTGCTTTATGAGAGGGTTACATTCTGCAAAAACCTCGCATAACTGGAAATCACATACAGGTAATCTTATGGGGTTGTGTTCCATAATCATCATTTCTGGAACTCCCCCAACCTTAAAACTGGCACTTTTCATAACACAGACACCCTATCAGACAACAGTAATGCTATAAATGTTGTGCAAAATCATTACAATACTCTAATAGTGTATGGCTTAAAAATAAATAAAATATAATATAAAACTATAAAATAAGAAAAATGATGAGCTTGCTCTTCATTTTTTTCTTATTTTTTAGTTTTATATTAATACATTTTCTTTTTTCGAAGCTACATTAGAGTAATGTAATGATTTTTCCACAACTTTTATAGTTTCATTACATGTAACAATGGCAACAGGCCACCTCATCCTCAGCTTTTTCCCCTTCCCGTATCTTGCACATACTGTAATGAATAAGTTTTTTTTTTTTCTTGTTTGCATCAAGTAAATTCTGGGCAGCAGCAGGGTCCTTGCATAATTGCAAATTAACATAAAGCGAGGGTCAGGTGTGTGTGGACAACAAAGGGTTTGGAAAATCACCTACCTCATATTTCCAATAAAACAATGGTTTACTAATGTCATGAATCTTCAGAATGCATATTGGCAATTGTACTTGTGGCATTTATACATCTCTTCTGTACTACTTACTTCATTTTCTCCTTTAGCTTTCTTTTAATATTGCACATATTTTTCTTAATTTTTCTAGGTTTTGGGTTTCTAGCACAGTACGTATTTGTAAAATGGCACAAGTACCCAGAAAATATTTGGTTAAGGCAATGTTTGTAAGTCAACACACATCAATTAATCTAGTTAAGGGAGATTTCACTATGGTTGAAGAACACTATTTGCCACAGGTGTACGTTAATGATGAACAAAGTTTTCTGCCTGAAAATTTAAGTATTATAGCTATGGTTAGAAGCAATGCACTGAAAGTGCCAATTTGTTCCCTGACCAACTGCAGAATTGCACGAGTGTTCCTTTAACACAAACTAATACCTAAGCAAAGCAAACAATGATTAAAGTTGGTTACATGAACACACTATTGCATCAACCTTCACTCATGATATGTGAGAGTCAGGCACTAGACTATTATCCTGCAGTTGCTTCATCAAGCTTGACACCAAACTAACCCTTTCACCCGAGAAGGTACACTGTTTGTCACAGCCCACCATTATCACATTGCATAATGTATACTTCACATTCAATAACACTATAGTTCATTAAACTGTCCTAATAAATGTTACAGTAATATATAGCACCTTCCCCTCAACAAGGAGAGGGCCCTCTGGTATGTGTAGTTACTGCACATACTCTAATACTATACTGTACTCTACACTTGACCCACATGTAAATTAATTCAATACAGTACATTAGTGAATATACTGACATAATTTACAGAAACTTCATTAAAGCTCAATAATAATCTTAAAATTCATTCAAAGACGATTCACCATAGCTTCAAAAATTACATCAAACCATTTTAAATATAGAGCTTACATGAGATAGAGTCAAACTATGGACGGATGAACAAACAAGAAGGTGGCTGTGGTGCTGACAATAAGAAAGTGATCATGCACTTTTTTTTAAATAAAACCAACTGATTTCTCTAACCACATCTAGATGCCGAACTGTGTGCTTCCACCACATAATTCAGGCTCTGTAATAATATAATCCCATTCTCCCTAAAATTGCAACACACTTTACAGGTAGTGAAATGAGATACAACAATGCTTTTCAGCATCTTGACAACAGTGATGTAGCCAGCTGTCATAAGTTGAATACAGGCAGACCTCACTATACACACTCCCACTATATTTATTTTTGAATATACAACATCTATAAATAAGTGAACACTTTTCACTATGCATTTTCACTGATAACCATTATTTTCTGTTGCACAAACTTTAAAAGATATACCCAAGCTCCTAACCACTTCACTATAAACTGTACCACTCCACTGAATAGGGTTCACTGCACAAGTATTATTATTTTGCCAATCTCGGGCATCAAATCAGGGACCTGCCCTTTGCATTGAATGACTGCTACTGTTGGTAATTTTTATCCAAGCTTTGTTATATAAATGAAAACTCTGAACTGAGCAAAATATTTTTTTTTTCGTATCATTGGAAGATGTTGTGGTGCTGATGCAGGCATCAGGGAACAACCCTATCTTGGCTTGTCAGTGATCTGAGTTGTGTATAATTTAAAGATGAAGTACACATAGAAGCTACACATGTGTCCATCCCTACTTCCTCTCTGTGAGAGAAAGTATGGCTGATAACAGCACCAGTGTCCTTTCCTCTGTGAGGGGAATCTATGAGAATTTTCTGGAGCAAGATAAACAACACCATGAATGAGTCACATCATCCCCTCGATATCTAAATTTACTCTAGTTTTATTTATGTTCAGTACTTATGATGAGTAATCATTTAATTATACATTAATCAATACTGTATTTCATATAATTTATTGTCTCCTTTGTATTTAGTTTGATTAATTTTGTTGCACAAAGGTGAAAATCAGCCCCAGGAACTCATCCTCCATTTATAACACTGTCGAAGAAAATCACTTTCAATATACGTACAGTACAATTTTTTACATTACCCACCAATTGTGGAACTATGCCTTATGTATAGTGAGGAATACCTGTAAGTTGCCATGATAATGGAAGCTAAAGAGCCTTGGGTGAATAAATTTTTAACAATGACCATTTCTTGTAGATGAAGGATACATTACTTGGGTGAGGGGGTCAGGGGCCATATTTTGAAATATATCTAATTCCACACTTAAAATATGTTACTACTGTATATAAAGATTATAAACATATATTGTTAACTGACTTTAATTTCACTGAGTGCATGTAAGTCTTTGGTCACACCTGATGCATGTAATGACTTTTCAGCAGGAAAACTGAGATTGCTATTAATAGACACTTTATTATAATTCTCATCCTTCTGGAAGGTGTTTTTCTTACCTTCTTGGAACTTGGTGTAAGTGTACATAAAGCCACCTACCGTATTCATCACAATACCTGCAAAGAAATGAGTTATGATTAAATTATTTTAGTGAATACAGTATGTATACAGTAATACATTCATGTAGTGTAATGTAAATGCACTTGGAGTTGAGTTTGTTCAATTCACCACAAACGCATATTACAAATTAAGTTTGTTTCAAAACATTTCCTTATATGGTAAATCAGGTTTAAGGATATATTCTCTACCTTGAACGCAACACTCAAGTACTGTAGAATCATCCTGGAACATTTCAGCCACTTACCATCTTTGAATTCTGAAGTGTTATCAATACTTGGAACTTTTGTTAAAGAATTTTGTAAGCTGAATTGGACATTACATAAGTGAAGCAGTTGCCACTTACTGGCATTGAAATATAAGAGCATGTGAAAAGAATAGTTTGTCTCAAAATGCACAAGCAAGAATGCACATTGGAGAAAGCATGGAAAGTTAGGGAAGGGCAAAAATAGAGTAAATAATAAAAGAGAATGAAAACAATAGCAATACTCAAAAAAAATGTAGAGTTGATGAAAACACAGCTAACCAGAATGTGAACAGAGAAAAGAACCAACATCAAGAAACAAAAGTATTCACTTTGAGATAAAAGCTTCATTCTTAACCTGACACTTACAAAGGAACAAGAATCACAGACCTGCAATATTTAGTGGGTGATATTTAACTCCACCAAAAACAAAGAACCCTACAAGTGTCTGGATAGCAGACTTGGCTACAGACACTAGGGATGTGGTGAGTGCTGAGTTGAGTGCTGTACACAAGAAGAGTGAATAGTTCAACACAGCACCCATACAGACCAGCGTCCAAAAGGTGAAGTGGAAGCCAGCATCTGTAATAAAAAAAATTATTATATTACAGGGTACTTATGAATAATTAGTAACAGGCATGATATGACAAAAATTCCAGATGAGTTCTGAAAACACCATTTACAAACTTTGTCATAAACTTAGACAAATCTTTTGCAATGAATCTTGGACTCATGTTTGGAGCCATGTTCCTACACCCAGCAATGAGCAGTTGGAAACCATTTGTTACCCATTTACTCCCACTTGGAATACTGCTGTCATCTGTGGCCACTTTTCATTCATAATGATACATCATTGCTTCTATTATATACTGTACTGTACATACACAGTTAATGTTTTAACAAGATACACCCAATATTGCCACAAGTACTACCTTCAATTTGGTCATGATAGCATCTGGGAATGTGATTTTTCTATTGAACGCCATTGTGCAGCACTAATGCCAACCAAAGTTCATTTATAACCTGGACTAAGCACTCCCTGGCTGCCTCAGAGTATTTTTCCTGTCTTGTATTATCTTACTAGTTTAAAGCAACTGGTTTCATATATACATACAGTACATGTATTCAATTTTTGGCAAGGGGAAGCCTCAGGCAGTGAATGGATCTGACAGAAATACTATTTTGATCTCTCACTGATCTTTTTCTTTGTAAAAAAAAATGTTACTCATTTCACTGTATTCTGAAGGAACAGCATTGAATTATTGTGAGCAGGAAGATAATTACCTGTTATATAGCGGTTTTGTACAATGGCTTCAGGCTCGCCCATAAGCACTGAAGATATAATGAAGGGTCCGAGAGTGTTGTAACTGTTTAACTGGAGGATCTCCCAGGTTGACAGCTTGTTCTCTGCACACTGCTGCACCAGGGTCAGGTACAGTCCTTGTGCCAGCACACTGAAGCCACCCATGGTGTAAGCAAATGTATCAAATGTCAAGTCACCCAGCACTGTGGAATGAAATACATACATATGAGGATATTGCAACATGCATTAAAAAAAATTAGTCACCCCCTATATTATAAACATTCAGATTATGGATATTGCCATTACAGAATTTTTATACAGTATTATGATCACTAAATTTCAGATATGAAATGAATGTTTGCCTTTATGGAAACAAGTTTTTTCCACATGTCCTATAGTGTTAATTGTAAACTTTTGTTGTTTGCTGATGACAGTGCTCTTTTATTGTCGGGTAAAGATCCAAATGATATACCTAACAGGTTATCATTAAACTGGAGGCATGCAAACAATGGCTTCATAGACAACACATTATCCCTACATCTTGGAAACACTGAAACATGAGTCTAGTATTTGGATAAAAAAGAAAGCTCAACAGGGTAAACAAATGCATTGTACTATGTGGGAATGAACCCATCTCATCTGTAAACCTCAATGAAATACCTTGGACTAATATTTGTTTGTCCAGTGATTTAATCGTAGATAATATGCGGTAGTTAAAAAAAAAAAGTAAAGCCAAAATAAAATATCTCTATAGAAATGGTAAGTGCCCCTCAGCTGGTGCCTGTAGGATCCTTTAGTTGGCACTCACTTGGACTGCTCCTGCTCTTCATGGTAATCTGCCTTAACACAGAAGCTAAACTCCAACCTCCAAATTATTCTTAACAAGGTGGTGAGGTTCATTCTTGACATGAAAGCAAGAGACTATGTTGGTCACCAAGTTCTTCAATCATTGAACATGTTAAGTGGCAGATAGTGAAGCAATTGAGGCTGAATCATGAATACAGGATTTTCGATGGACTGTACCCAGAGTATCTAACAACAAACTTTGCATGGATTAGGGATATGAACCGGCAAGGCACTAGAGGGAGTGAATGTAATTTTATGGTATCTGGTGACCTGCAGTCACTTTCTTGATTCCATATACCACAATCTAGAAAAATGCAAGACATCTGTGGCTGTTGCTTTCCTTGGGTTTTGGAGAAGTCTTATACAATGGCTCACAGACTTCCTTAGTCTGATGCCAGGCTGTATGCTTCCAAGAGACGGTCTGTACTTTTCAGCCACTCACCTGCGGTGTCTTCCAAGGCACTAGAATGGGACACCACTCTGCTTCCTCACCCTCATCAATGATGCCCTGAAAGAGACTACCATTCACTGGAAATATGTCAACAACTCCACCAATGGCATCAGTGTGAACAACTTGGCTCCCTAATACAGCACCCTCCAGAATATATTGAACAGTCTCCCAAATTGGGCCACTACCAAGCATGCCACCATCAACTATACCAAAATCATGGTTATGCACATCAACCTCTACTCCACCCTTGCCCAACCTCCCTCCATCACATTGGTCCCCAACACACTCCAGGTAGTGTTCACCAAGCTCCTCAGTGTCACTATAGATAACAAACTGAACTGGAAAGTACACATCAATACAAGTGTCAAATCTTCCTTCATTGTTTTTCAATTACCTGAAAACAGAAAATCACCCCACAAGTATTTATCAAGAACTTGTATGCTTTTTTCCTCTGCACATTAAGATAATTCATAAATGTACAGTGGTTCCTCGATTAACGAACACAATTGGTTCCACAGAGTCGTTCGTTAATGAATTTATTATTTCAATGGGATATTGGGTAATTGGTTCCAACTCACAGAAAAAGTACATACAAAGTACTGTATACCGGTAATAGAATTAACAAAACATTAAATATAAACTAAATACAGAACTGTACTGTACAGTATACTGTATAATAATAAATAAAAAACATAGAGGTGTGTATGTTGTATCCCCGGCAGCTTTGTTTACATATCAAACAGCTGATTATAGAGGCAGTCGATGATGACATGCCATATTCTTTACAGAGTGCATTGGTTCTAATGCCTTCTTCATGTTTCATAATAATTTCTGCACTGTATATTATCAATATGTGAACTAAATTTCAGAATGATCAATAATTTTAATGTAAAAATGCAAAAATATTCAAGAGACCAACAAACTGGATGCTCACTCCACAGTAAACAAAGTTAAACTGAGAAGCGTTGGTGGGTGATTCGATCAGCTGATTGGCATACAGAAACTGTTCCCTGTACTGTACAGTATATATTATCAATATGTTAACTAAATTAGAATGACCAATAATTTTAATATAAAAAATGCAAAAATATACAAGAGCACAACTTTCTTGATATTTACTCCACTGCAACCAAATGTAAACATAGAACCAATTACTGTATTGGCAGACTAGCCGATCAGCTGATGCGCACAACAAAGCGTGTTTCTCGTAAGGCTTTCGTTAATCGAAGTTTTGTTCGATAATGGAATTGAAAATCCTTATGGGAGCTAATTCGTTAACCGAAATTTCATTAATTGGACCGTTGGTTAACCGAAGGACCACTGTACACACGTCACCCTCACCACCTACCTGCCACAAAACAGCCTGTTGTGATAATAAGTATTGATGAAATTAGTGTGACAGATGGAAATGGTCGATGGAGGATAACCACAGATAGGATTAGGTTCACCAGCGGCGTACAACGTTTAACAGCTCCATACATCGGAATATTCATACCTGTGGACAAAGAACAGGGGATTATGTAGTGTCCTCTATGAGAGCCACTGGTCATCAGTATATGGTAAGTGTGCAGTACCTACTGAATGAGCTAATACAGTACCTCCAAAAACAAAAACTCTAATGCATTATTGGCTTAACTTGAAGGCACCCTTAGTTGCTGCAGTTTTTATGTACATGGTAAGGTTTTTAACTCCTAATCTGAGGTATACGAGCTTGTTCCCTTGTTCCAGGGACTTTTTTTTTGTCACATATCACCAACACAAGGGGCCATAACTTCCAGCTAGCCAAGATATCATGCAGAACAAACATAAAGAATTGCTTCTTCACATAGATGGTGGTAGACCTATGGAACAGTCTACCAGCTCAAGCAGTGGAATCTAGAACAGTACTGTACAGTGATATCCCCATTAGCAGGAATAATTGGTGCAGAGCAGTTCCAGGACTGAGAGATTTCCAGGAATGGAGATAATTTTCTCATCCTTGGAAAAACTGCACATCTCGGAATTTTTCAGGGGACTGGGGAAAGTTTTCCAAGAGTCTAAACTATGCATCTCACACGGACAGACACCGAAATGTATTTATTTATGCGAGCACCACTGTACACATACAATACATTGTATATAAACTAAATATATTACAGTACTTTACAAACTATACTGTACTCACCAGCAGATGCTTGAGCTTGTGATGCAGGCAGGCCAAATGGTGATATGATGATACAGGATGGCCTGCCTTTGGCCTGTACCATCTTCTGTACCAAGTGTTGCTAACTGTCACTCTCCTCTCCCTCCAAGAAGGAGGGATTGTATATACTCTACACACTAGCATACACTGTCCACTCTGCTATGTACCGTATTGTACATATGCTGCTTTCACACTTACTTAATGTACAGTACAGTATACATAACTGTAATCACTTTTTACATCTTAACACTACTTTAATGGTATTCTCCGCTGATTATATGCTGGTACAGTAATGTACAGTACTTGTACTCTGTACAGCATAACACAGATCAAAAGCAAAAACAACAGTTCGTGAGTGAACAAACTTGTACAATAGCAGCAAACAATGAACTATGAGTGTCATGATGCAAGAATTTGATGAGATAGGCTGCATGATACATCAGCCAATCATAGGCTGATCATAGCTCATGAACACTCTGAACCTACCCACCCCTGCACCCAGCATGTGTCCCGTGTCAGAATTATGATGCAATCCTTGTTAATTCATTTCCATGCCCAGAAAGATTTTCCTGGAATTTCTTGAAATGTTAAAACAAAACTTGGGCTCTTGAAGAGTTCCGGGGATTGAAGTCTCCGGCCAACGGAGAGATTACTGTATTGGGCTTCAAAACAGCCCTACACAAGACCATCACAAACAAAGGAGGGACCCTATACAGGCCCCTGGCATGACCACCTCTAGTTGGGTGGCCATTTAGGTGAATAAGGATGTTAGCATTTATGTCAATTCAAAATTTAACGATACAGTATCAATGTACGCTTTAAGATAATTAATGACCAACCTCTGCTTATTGTGAGAAAACATTTCCTCTGAGTTTCTTAAAATGCATATTCCAAGGATCATATTTTTTAATGCTTGAAGTAGAGCATAGTTTGAAGGTAAATATATAGGTCCAAGACCTAAGAATCCTGTAGTTTTAGTTTCAGAGACACTTCTGTTATGTAAAGTATAGGATCTGTCAACTGAAAGTCTAATCTATGAAATTATCTATTTTAAGAAAGATCTAAGCAGTTTAAATTCCTGTTCTGCATTCACCCATAGTTGACCCCTATTGAGTTAGAATTGTTATCATGTGTTGTTGGCAGACTCCACACCTCTAAATATTTCCTCTTTTTCGAATTCCTCTTTTTTTTACAACTCTACACCTGTATTATACATAACTAGAATGTAAAATTTAAGAATAGCTATACAGGAATGAGACCATTTATCCAGCATGCTTGGGACCTGAGGGTTGCCAGACAAAGTTTTCTGCAATAATCATTCCTATTTCAAACTACTATATCTCAAATGGAGTAGTATTTAAATTATAAAATATACTTTAGTGATACAGGTATTCATACAAAACTTACCTTGGAGTGCCATGAGTGAAAGAGTAGCATGAAAGGCATAGCCCAGAGAAGGTGCCAGAAACATGTACGCAGACCTCCAGGTGTACGCTGGGAGACTAATTTTGCCGAGGGTTATTAGTATCTCAAGGAACACTACAGTCACTAACATCTGAAATTACATAAGACAAATTAACTACCGTACACCAGAGAAACGTGGCTTCAATCCCAGGCCCAGCCATTATGGGGGAAAATGAGTCACAGTCCCCCAAAAGAGTCTGGTACACCTATGAGCCTATTTGTAATCTTACAGGTGAGTATCAATGTATCACTAGGAGTCAAACCAATGAACAATACAGTAATCCTTTTTCTACTTATTATACAGTATATAAAAAATGATTCATTCTACTATCCTTCATTATAATCACAAAATGTTTGAGTGTCCCTAAACATACTCAGTACATTCCATCTGCATGACCATATTCACCATCTTGGGCAGAGAGAGAGAGAAAGAGAAAGAGAGAGAGAGAGAGAGAGAGAGAGAGAGAGAGAGAGAGAGAGAGAGAGAGAGAGAGAGAGGAGAGAGAGAGAGAGAGAGAGAGAGAGAGAGAGAGAGAGAGAGAGAGAGAGAGAGAAGAGAGAGAGAGAGAGAGAGAGAGATACTCCAGCACAGAAGAGAACAGTCACAAGATGCTGTGGGTGAAGTGAGTCAGCAAACCTGGTACAGTATGACTTGCTATCCTCGTTTATTATCACTTTCTTCACTTTATTTTGAGGTATGTGGGGTGAGCTCAAGGGTACACACAATCAGCATGAAAGTGGGATAAAATAATAATACTAATGTCACCGAATTACCTTTTTTTAGATACTTTTCTCAATATCTCTTGAGGAATATACAGCATGAGCCAAGGACACAAGAGGCATACCACAGCAACACACAAAGACTACCATCCATAATCCTACCTGACATGCCATGATGAAGAACGGGAAAGGGAATTCGTAGGAGTTGATGACACCCTTGTTCAAGAAGGCCATGGAGGCTGAGCACACGCCATAGAAGACTGCAGCTGCAAACCCCTGACCCTCGATCCTCCTGCAGACACAATGGATGTTAATGGTGAGAGACCTGTGCTATGGTCTTGCTCAAAAAAATATAATAGGTAGCTTATTATGTGGGGACACTAAAAGATGGGTAGACAAGGAGATGCTAAAATGGGGGAACAAAGAAAGATGCACAGTACTGATGAAGGTGAGGGGAGACAGGGGGCACATGGGAAGGTAGGGGGTAATGGACTGAGCCCTTATTAATTCAATATTGCTGAAAATTTTATGGTTATTTTTATGTAGATATGGCACAAAGACTTTTGCAAATCTAGGAAAAAATTATCGGTCCAAATATCACAAAATTATCCAGTTGACTTCGTTTATACAATGGGAGACGTGTTGCTTTAAATTAGTATATTTTTCAATTAAAGGTTCAAAAGTGAAAATTATTATACAAACAAAGACAAACAATGGTACAGACAATACAGGACTAAAAATATTTGAGTATACAGTACTGTACAGTATACAAAACATGGAATATATGAAACATATGCCCACAAAACTTGGGTTTGGTTGAAAAGTTATTCCAATACCTGTACTGTATCTACAATACTTTTATAAATATGAAAAAAATTAATACAATACAGAGCTACAGTATTAAAATAAACTGTACCCACAAGGGGTTGCAGCTCAAGGTTGAAAAAACCGCAAGCCCAGAAAACTGTGAGGGGTAACTTTTTCAGAGAGAGTTATGAACTATTGGAACAATTTGCCTGTGTGTGTTGTGACGGCACCGAGCGTGAGCACTTTCAAGACCAGAATTGACAAGCACTGGAGCAGGTTCAGATACATTCAGAGCCAGTTCATGCTCAATACTTGCCAACAGTGCATAACAGAGACGTGACCGATTGCCCAAGCAGCTAATTAGCCGATCAGTGGTGAAGAGGATAAAAGTAAAAGTAAAGTAAATGTGTGCATTACACAAAACACTTCATATACCTGTACAGTTCATGTACCGGTACTCAAATTTATTTCAAAATAAGATACAGTACAGTATGACTTGAGTACAGTACAGTACTGAACAGTATTCTGAAGATTGGTTTTTCTCATGCTAGGCTTCCCACTATCAAACATCAAAACAAATGTCCTGTAAAAATTATGTTCCTCTTTCAAATTGTTAAGCAGTTGTAAAAAAATCTAGAATTATTTGGTATACAGAACTGTACTTCAATCAACCCAGAGCTTCGATGAAATCAAATTAGAGGGTTCAGTATACACAAGGAAACAAGGGGTGGCTGTAAAATCACAAGAAAAGGAAGGACAGGCAATTTAGATGGAAATTTGGGAGAATATAAGGGAAAGCAGTAATAAAATTGAACATTTAAAATGCCATTTAAAAACTCATGCACTGTTAAACAAATGTTAATCAAAAACTCCCCCAACAACACAATTGGTTGCATTTATAAAGTTCCTTGCAAGGAATGTAATATGTTTTACTTAGGCCAGACAGGAAAAGATCTTGCAACTAGAATTAAACAACACAAATACAGTGTTAGGACAGGCCAGGAATCCAATGCTCTATTTGTTCATTTGAGGGATAACAAGCATTGCATTGACTGGGATAATGCCTCCTCAATATTACCATGTAGTTCAATTGATAGTAGGAACATCATAGAATCTAGTCTATTAAAACATACAGAAGCATTCAACATGAATTTGAGTAACGACATGTACAAGCTGGACAATTTTGTAATTAAGAAGATTTGTAACCAGGTGAGAAGGCCGGGTCACCTGACCATCTGACCTGACCACCAACCGTTGTGTGCTATTAAAAGATTAGTAGGGTCATTACCTAATACATAAGAACATAAGAACATAAGAAAATAAGGAGTTCGCAATAGGCCGGTTGGCCTGTGCATGGCAGCTCCTGTCGAGAGTTACTACCACTCTCTATCATCCATAAATCTATCTAGCCTCCTTTTGAAACTTTCCAGAGTTCCTCAGACTTACTACAAAGTTGTTGCTTGTTCCACTCGTCCACCACCCTATTTGGAACCAGTTTCTTCCTATCTCCCTCCTAAACCTAAACTTATCCAACTTGAACTGTTGTTCGAGTCCTATCCTGTTCGGATATTATAAGAACTTTATCTATATCCCTTTATTGATTCCTTTCACCCACTTAAATACTTTATATATACACCTTGGTTTGTATTTCTCTCTCTAGTCTGTACTCACCCCTGAAGATGTGAATTACACTAAGCAGCTTTGGAATTACAGCGCTTTGGGAACTTCGTGTTTTTCCTGTACACAGCATATACCTGGATCACGCACCTACAGTGATTTACTTGCATATATATATATATATATATATATATATATATATATATATATATATATATATATATATATATATATATATATATATATATATATATATATATATATATATATATATATATATATATATATATATATATATATATATATATATATATATATATATATATATATATATATATATATATATATATATATATATATATATATATATATATATATATATATATATATATATATATATATATATATATATAATATATATATATATATATATATATATATATATATATATATATATATATATATATATATATATATATATATATATATATATATATATACACACATATATATATGCAGATAACGGAAGAAACACGGTTCAGCTCATTACATTATATATATATATATATATATATATATAGAAGATGGTACAGTACCTATGTACACTACTGGGGCTTCTGTTAACCCTGCAATTTGCATACTGTATATAATAAAGCTCTATCAGTATTGTAAGCGTGGTCTTAAAACAAGTTTAAAGCATTGCAGAAAATAAAAAATTATTTATAGTATTCTTAATGACCAGACTGTTGGTGAATTATAACATAGTAAATAGATTGTGCAGCAGAGGTATCTACTCTAAAACAGTTATTATCCAATGTAATACAGAGATTATAAGCAGCATGCAGTACTGTACTGCACTGAATGTTGCATCTGTACTCACATCAGTGCCATGACGGAATCTACGCTCACAAATGAATTAAAGGCCTGAAAAAAATTGAGGTACAGTATAATACTATATAACAACTGTGATGATAGAAATATTACATAACCGTAATAGATTCCTGAATATATATATATATTATTAATTTATTGCCATTCACTTATTATTACTTTCTATCTCTTCCTTGTGTTTAGACTCTCTCTTCCGCCCTCCACCTCTGAATTACCCGGTAAACACAGGCAGTATAGCCCATCTTTCAAGCCCTCTGGGCAACCTGATCTACTCTCTGTCTTATTTCTGGATTTCTCATTCCTTGCACCCTATTCACCCCCATTTAATATACTGTACACCACTTATCTCTCTTGCTTCTAATCTGTTCTTTCCTCTTGAATCCAGAAGCCAGGTTAGGTTAGTTATAGTATGGTATAGTATGTTTAAATTAGGTTAGGTTAAGGTATGGTATGTTTAAATTAGGTTAGTTAAGGTATGGTATGTTTAAATTAGGTTAGGTTAAGATATGGTATGTTTAAATTAAGTTAGGTTAAGGTATGGTATGTTTAAATTAGGTTAGGTTAAGGTATGGTATGTTTAAATTAGGTTATGGTTTGGTATGTTCGAGACATTTTTTCTTTTGACTATTTTCCCTACAATCTTTATGCCCACATTGACTCTCCTTACATTACTCGGAGGTCAATTTCCTTCAGCTAGTTTACTTTGTGGTTCAATTCTTCTCACTCTTCCATTTGATGACATATAACTCCCATATAATTGAAACTTTCTCCATTGAAGCTAGCAGTTTTCTCTCTCTCCTCTACTCATTTTCACCACATTTTTAATTTGGTTCACTCACTACAGTATCACTCTTCTCCTAGTGCAGTACATTACATTACAAGCTTTTCCAAATTACACAACATTATGTATGGTAATCTTTCTTGTAAACAGTTCACTAAAGTAACATAATTCTACAAATCACACATCTACAAAAAGGTCGTTTAGTCTTGTGTTACTGTACAGTATTTACATGAGTATGACATTAAAAAGAAAAGGAGATCAACATTTTCTAACGTTTCCTTCACTCCAAATTATCCTCCGTGTCACCGATTTAAAAATTATGCACACATATAAGTTGTCCAATTTGCTGCAAATGGGTAGAATGCAGCTATACACTGTTCTAATTCACTCAATTCTGTTGCCATATCAAAAATTATTACAAGATAATACAGCATAATAAAAAATAAACAATGAAAAAACTGAAGGTAAGGAACAAATCCCTAACAATGGGTATGTCAGTTAATATCTATTCCTAAAATACTCTTGTTTAGATAGAGGGTAAGACTATATTTTCAACCTAACCCGTACACACAGTAGACTGGCATAATGCAATATACAATGAACAATCAACTAAGCTCCACCTTCTTTTGCATTCTTAACAAACATTAAAACTTTAACATATGCCTGACTGATAAGCGAGTTGTTCCAACACACTGGTAACTTCCGTCTTTTTTTTTTTAGTTTCCTATACAGTATTCTTTTTCAACTGAAAACACTATTGACAGAGAAATAAACATTGCAGCAAATTTACTGATGTGATAGAACACCTCGGCAAACTGCACCAAATAATTTTATGAACTGTTATGATTATTAATGACTAGCTGGGGTACCATGCATTACCCAGATTTATTTTTCAGAGGCAGCTCATAGCCTATGAGTTCCCAACCCAAACAGGGTGGAGCAGCACTCAAAAGGAAGCACACTAGCTATAGTATCGATGTAAAATTAGAAGCAAAAGGCAAAAGAAGTGTAGGAGTGGACAATCCACCTAGTCCTGTTTCTTTTTCATGCTCCAACTAATCCTCCATCCCCCAACACCCACCTCCATCAATCCGAACATCTCTAAATTTGAAGCGAAGTAAATAAGAATATTGTATTATGTTAAAATTATTTATTTTTAAAACATTATAATAAGTATTTTATCTCAATGAACCACTGGAGTGAGAGTGCACCACCAACGGTTGCTGCGGACCATCGGGTCGCTAGCCCAAACTACGTTGCCTCAACACACCGACCCCAATGAACTTTAAGGATGTTAAATAATTGTTAAAGTTAGCATGGTCCCAATTTGACCTATTTCCATTATTTCTTATGGGATTAATTTGCCGCTTTAAGTGGATTCATTATCAGAGGCGTTTTTCTGGTCCCAATTAACTGCGGATAACGAGGACCCCCTGTATAAAAAAATTACTTCTCTCTGACTCAACATCAGCTCCATGCAATCCTTCACATGTCCACCACCACAAAGACATTTCATTAGTATAATTATAGGCAATATTGCAGTAAACTGCAACCACAGAATTCCTGAAATTCACTAATTTCAATCGATAGAACTATTTTTTCTATGATAATTTTCTTATATTACACTTCCGTCGCAAATTGACAATAAGGAAGGTAAGAAATACTGTACTGAAACGGTTGTTTATGTTCTCATGGAGGCTGACCACGCGACTCTGGGTTATTACATTGTGTCTGGGGGTCCAAGGGTGAAGCCCCCGTCTAGGGCCACCAGCTCCGCCCCCGGTTAGGGGGTTAGGTAAGGTTTAGTTTGGTTATATTGTATAGGTTAGCAAGCACAGAGTACCGGAAATTCAGAACACGCAATCGACAGAACTATTATTTCTACTATTTTTTCGTAAATTGCAATTTCTGTTGCGTAATGTGTTCTTCCAATGTTTTCTTGTTGCAATTCGGACAATTTTGGAATTTGCTTCTACCACATATCACTCGCTTTGGCTCTCCACCACCCAGAACTCCCACGCTTTCCCCCATTATTGTTAGAGGGATGGGGGGGGGGGGCCTAAATACAAAAGGAGTGATTTCCGATAAAACAAATGTCACCAATCGCATCAAAAGCCATCAGAAATATACATTTTTTTCATCAGATTCTTTATTTGCTGTAATCTACAATTTTACCTAATTATATCACTGTCCATCATAGTAATCCTTCAGATCAAACATTACAGTAATTATTGTGTGAATCATTATCTATTCTCTAGTGATTATCGTGGGTTATCAAAGTGGAATCACCCTCCTAAAATGTTTTGATGAAATTCCTGTTGAAAAAAAATAATAAATAAATAAATGAGTATACGAGTTCTCTCTGAATTTTATCATATACAGTACAGTACTCTCATCCAGATTTGCATTCTATGCAAAGAACACATAAAGAATGATCTCCTCAAAAATCAATAAGGAGGATCAATAAGACAGGGATGATTACTTATAAGGAATTTCCCCCAAAAAATAGAAAGCGTACACAGGTTAAGTTAATGTCCAATTCTTCTGGCAGTTCATTACTACACGTACATGAAATCATGCCAATTAACCTGATCTCCCTTTCAAGTCTAACTTCTTTACCTCGACCAAACATAAAAAGACTAGTTACAATAACTGTAAAAATCATAGTGTCTGAATAAATCCAGGTAAGAAACCTGACCAACACGGTGACGTCAGCTGATGGACCTCTGGTCACAAAAATTGTATCAACATAACAAAGTCAACTTCGAGGGAAATATTTATTTAGACACTGTTTTAGGAACGTGTATGGTGTTAAACTCACCCTCTCTTGTATCTGACCATCTCCAGAGTGTGTGAAAGAGTAAACCAGTGGGGTGAGACAGACAGCACACTCGACACCCGTACACGTCCCGCAGCTTAGCTCACACTGACACTGATAGCTTGTCAAAACATTACTTATGTACTACCTGCTTATAAACACTCCCAGTCTTTTTATATGAACATTTAATTATATCTTCATAGCTTAGTTTTATATTCTTAGAATGTGAACATTTTCATTCGTTGTATTTTCAAATTGCTATTTTTTATACGTAGGCGGAGAGGAAAACCTAGGATGTGAACGTGGCAACTCAAGAGATGACCTTCATGCGAATCTCATTCCCGTATGTTCATATTAAGAAATTTTTCATTCAACAAATAATATTCACGAATTATTTCTTTAAATCAGAGTTATCTTAATATTAATCCACATGACGCCGGCAGAAATATTATGTTTAAAGTAGTTTATCAGCTAACATTGGCAATTTGTCCAAGCAAAACTTACTGTTTGTGTTGATAATTTCAATGAAGAAAGCGTGCTTTCTTTATTCCAGACTGGTTGTCTACAATATATTACGCAAAATACATCTTAAGCGTCATTCTAAGAACATGAAATAAAGTATGGATAAGATTGGAATAATGAAACTTCTAATATGTAGCATAGAACCTTACACGCTTCATTGCTTCACAAATGACATGCCTGACGCTGTACATTCCTCCATACAAATGTTTGCGGATGACGCTAAGTTGTTTCGAGAAATTAAGAACCAAGCAGATTGTGAAGAGCTGCAGAAGGATCTCTGTGAGCAGGTTCAGATACATTCAGGAGCCGGTGCAAGTCCAGTATTTGCCAACAGTGCATAACAGAGACGTGGCCGACCGCCCAGGCGGCCAACGAATGATGCACAAACTCTTTGTCTTTTTTTGCGGGGATTAGCCCACCCGAGCACCGGTCACTAACCCACATCAGGGCCTAGGGGGGGAGAAGATATAATAATAATAATAATAATAATAATAATAATAATAATAATAATAATAATAATAATAATAATAATAATAATAATAATAATAATAACAATAACAATAACAATAATAATAATAATAATAATAATAATAATAATAATAATAATAACAATAACAATAACAATAATAATAATAATAATAATAATAATAATAATAATAATAATAATAATAATTAATAAAATAGATAAAAATTATAACCAAAAAATAAAAATACTAATAATAACCATGAATAAATACACAAACGAAAAAATAAATCAAGAGTGAGAAACGATACACAGCATGTTGTGTTGTCAATACAGTAGTAAGAGAAACAACTGAACCCTGCAATTGTGTGTTTTGAGTTTGCGGCCCCGTGATCACCAACCTGGGACTTGGCAGCATGTCTACCATAGAGAACACTAGTTTTGAGGTCATAATAACATTGACTCTAATTCACCACCATCAAGTCATGCATTTAAAATGCCTCAACTCTACATAGTTAACACTAAATTTTGTCTAATACTGCATACACTTACAGTATAAATTGGGGGAATCTAATTTATGAAGAAATGTACCGAAAGATGATACCCACTGCTCGTTCTTTAAAGAAACGAATATCTTCACTTGACATCCTGTTAAGTTCTCGTCAACAACACACATAAAGCTTTTCCAATTAAGGAATGAAATGTTGAAAAGTCGTATTGAAGCGGCGGATTAAAAACTGTGCTGACTTCTAAAACAACACTGAATTGTTCTGACTTCAAAATCAACATTGGACTGTGCTGGGCCTAGATTCACAAAAGGGTTACGAACACCGTAATTGCTTAGTTCATAATCTCCTGCAGTGGTAATTCACTAAAGACTTAAGTTCACAACTCGATTTAAAATGGCTGACTTTCCTTCGCAACTTACGGTGGCTCTGGAGGTCTCATAAGCTTCCGCAAGGTAGAAATAAGGCAGTTTTCTCTACTATACAACCCGGACCAAAACACACACACACACACATGGCTGCTTGAAAAATAGCAGCCATCTTGAAAAATAGCCGCCGTCTTGAAAAATAGTTGCCATATTCGAAACACTTAAAAGCAAAATAACTGCTAAACTATTAATTGTATCGAAAAATAACATCTAGTCTAAGTTGTTCTAAATCATGCATAGTTACCTATTAGCTTGTTATCTTTATGTTATTAATACGATTTTGACGGATATTGGGCGCTGATACGATAAAATAGAAGTCATGGGTCAGCCTGTTAGGTCCCATATAACAGACCAGTCCCAGTTAAAAGCTTCCGTTTTGTGAATTTACTTCATTATACACAAGTGTCTTCCTTACATCAGAGGCTTCCATAAGTCTCTGCAAAGTAGAAGTCATGAAGTTGGTTGAATATTTCGCCAGGTGTGCGTTATCAAAAACTGCTGAAGCTTCGGTGATAAATTATATATGAGTGTGCATGGATTCATCTGGACACGTACCACTGCATGAGTGTGAGGCAAGACAGTGTATGCGGATGAGCACCACCACCACTAACTGCAACAAGTGACAGCAACGCCTATTGTGACAGTAATCCCTAAACCACACTATACTGAGACTACTCGGCGCCCTCACTTCTGCTGCTGTCTTATAATCCCTCTCCAACAGCAGTCACTCAGACTTAAAACTAAGTAAATTATTTTCTTAAATTATTAAATACTTATTAATGCAAAATAAGAAACACATTTTGCTATTAATCTATTAATATGACGCTATAAATTTAAATAGTCAATTCAAATTACGGTAATCAAAAGTTTCACTTTGATACATCTGTGAGGCTACATTAGGAGGCGACCCCCAATTTCACAAGTGTTCTGTACCAAAAGATGTGGTGATGGTGGGAGGAACACATCACTTCCACCAAAGATACTAATTTGTATAATGTGTCACCAGATATTTTTAATATCTGTGTGAATGCATGTGACTGTAATATTACTACCACCACCAATAAAAATAAAAAACAGTTTATTGAAAAAAGGCTGAAATAACACAATGAGCAGAAATGACAAATTTCATAGTGATATTGGGGAGTGAGTCATCTAAAAAAAATTATGTACAAAAAATAGGAAACATGAGTCACTTATGTTTCCTAGTTAACTTATATATTCACTAATGATGAGTGAACATATAAGTTAACTAAGATCTGATAGTTTCCATAGTGGTTGGAAAGGGGGCCAATAGTGTAGCCTTGATGCAGTTATAAATCATAACTTATGATGCCAGACATCTAGCTACACATGTGTGTGTTGGTTGAGGAAACACCTTTCCCAAATTGTGACATAGGGAATAACTTTCTGGGTTAGGTAAGGTAAATTATAATTCATATTAAACCATGTGAAGACTGAATATAGGGTCAAGTATTTTTTTATTACAATGAGCCACCAGATTTATGTGACCCACACTCATTTACAAGGTTTTCAAGTAAATTAAAGTTCATGTGTTAAAAGTGACTTAAGAGAGTTAGGTTTAATTACATTAGGCTTTATTAGTTAAAATCCAAATACTAAGACAGAACTGTAGGAGTTAGGTGAGGATAGGTTGGTTACGTTAGGTTTTATTTGCTAAAATCTAAAGGTTAAGACAAAATTTATGTAGTTAGGTCAAAGTTTATTAGTTTGTCATTCATATGTGATGACTAAGACAGGGGTTAGGAAAGGATTTATTAGTCACAATCTAGATATCATGTTTTTTTTGTTACGACCTACATTGTCCGTGTTATCAAATCTGACGAGGACTCGGCAAAACTACAGGAAGATCTAAACAAATTTTTCGAATGGTCTGAAAAATGGCAGATGAAATTCAACGTCGACAAATGTAAAGTACTCAGTATAGGAGATGAACAACGATGCCATAGAGAAATCCGACTGCGAGAGAGATTTAGGAGTTATGATAAGTAGGAACCTTAAGCCAAGTAAACAATGTGTTTTTGCTCGTAACAAGGCTAATAAAGTACTTGGGTTCATACAAAGGAGTGTTAGTTACAAGACTAGCGAGGTCATCCTAAAACTGTATCTTGTTCTTGTGAGACCACACCTGGATTACGCAGTTCAGTTCTGGTCACCGCATTACAGAATGGATATAGAATCCTTGGAAAGAATTCAGAGGAGAATGACGAGACTAATCCCGGGCATTAGGAACCTTGAGTATAGAGACAGGTTAAAGCATCTTAATTTGCACTTCCTTGAGAGACGTAGAGCGAGGGGCGACATGATAGAGGTGTATAAGTGGAAGGCAGGGCTAAACAAAGGGGACATTACAAAGGTACTCAAACTATCCAACCAGGAGCGAACTCGTAACAATGGTTTTGAATTAGACAAATTTAGATTTAGGCGTGAAATAGGTAAACACTGGTTTGGAAACAGAGTAGTGGATGAATGGAACAAGTTACCAAATATCACCATTAACTCGAATTCGCTGAATTGCTTCAAACATAGGTTGGATGCTCATATGAGCAACAGGGGTTGGGTGTAAACGGGACTGCCCAGTATGGGCCAATAGGCCTGCTGCAGTTTCCTCCATTCTTATGTTAGTTACTACAGGAGGAAACCGGGAGTGTAGTGGATTTCTTCCCTACAAACGCTTTTGTCGCTGAGTAGCCGACCCCGTGAATTTCCCAGTGTATGCCTCGTGGTCTGGGTCAACCAGCGCCGCCTTACATGACGGAGGTCAACTACTAAGCCACGCCTACCTCCGCTATTTAAGACCTGACCTCGTGGTGATCTCTCTCTTTTTCTACCTACACCAACCAGCCAGCAACACCTCCTCCTCCTCCGCCTGCCTGGCGGTCCTCGCTCCCGCCGGCGAGCATGGCGACCCACAAGCTGTCCCCCTCTGAGCACCCTCACCAACCAGCTCTCTCTACATCACGCTTGTAACCACGCTGCCACATCCCAGCACCAAGCTGCATTGTACATCCAATACAACATGTATACAGAGAGCACAATGTGAGTTTCCTTTCTCCATCTCATCCTGAGTGAACACCAAACATCCCATACCCCACAGGAGTACCCGGACACACATTCGACACTGATAGGGGATTGAGAGTCCCACGCGTTATCGATGTACAAGAACGGAGGAGTGCTAGCTCAAGTAACTCCAATTTTATTGTCATCAGTCCGTAAATAAATTTAAACGGAAGTACATTTAAAACCTTGTAAAATGAAAGAAAAAGAGAATGTAAAAAAAATCTGAGAATACTGTGTATTACTACTTTATGTTGTGGGGTTCAGGTTGTTTGGTTCACTCAGGATGGGGTGGAGAAAGGAAACTCACAATGTGCTCTCTGTATACATGTTGTATTGGATGTACAATGCAGCTTGGTGCTGGGAAGGCAGCATGGTTACAAGCGTGATGTAGAGAGAGCTGGTTGGTGAGGATGCTCAGAGAAGGACAGCTTGTGGATCGCCATGCTCGCCGGCGGGAGCGAGGACCACCAGGCAGGCGGAGGAGGAGGAGGTGTTGCTGGCTGGTTGGTGTAGGTAGAAAAAGAGACAGGTCACCACGAGGTCAGGTCTTAAATAGCGGAGGTAGGCGTGGCTTAGTAGATGACCCCCGCTCCGTGATGTATGGCGGCGCTGGTTGACCTAGACCACGAGGCATACACTGGGTAATTGGTGGGGTCGGCTAGGCAGCTAGGGGAGGCCTCCACTACAATGTATTATCCTTGGTAAATGTGTTTATATGCATGCATACTGTATGAATTTGTTTTCAATAAATGCAAATCAAATCAAACTAATAACAACAAAAAATAGTAATCTTACGTAGAAGTAAAATTAAACTAAAATTATATATTAAAAGTACAGTATTGTTACTGTTTTTCTACCTTCAGTTTACCGACTTAGTGCTACAAGAACGTCAACAAATTATTATCCGGTCCAGCAACAGAAACCATTATCTATGGTTTCGGAAAATAAATATAAATAACAACTGAGATCACTGTAATAAGAAAATATACCAATAATGAATTTCTCATGAATAACTATAAAAATGGAAAGATATTGCGGTAATTATTTCGATATCATCTAGATGTTGTCAAGTTCTCCAATGATACTGTACTCAGACAATTGTAGGCATTCATTATTCACTTATTTCAGGTACAGCAGGACTACTACAGCTCATCCTGGCACATAGCATAATGTTTACAAGAGAAATTGAGTTTGAATCAGTCGGCAAAAGTCTACTGTTGAGCCAAGAGAGTGAGGGAGAAGTGGGATGTGTGGTGTGGGATGCTGCCATCGTCCTCGCCAAGTGCCTGGAGCATCACACACTTCTTCATAACCAACAAACTACCAGTGAGTCATTGTATCATTACACTGTGAAGAAAAGGGAGATCATATGAAGATTAGCTCCCCATCTAATTTCACCTGAAGATTAAGCACCCTGATGCTACCTGGGAGTTTAGTTTATGTTATGTTATGTTAAGGGTTGGTAAAATTATCGTTTCGGTCAATCAAAAATTTTTAGGATTTTAAGTTTTGGAATCGTTAGTTTAAACAATTCTAAGATACTTTTCTTCTTTAGTGTTACTGCTGGAATTTTTGTTCTCGAGTATTTTAATCAATAAAATTACCAACAATATTACTTGTCTAAAGTGGGCAGGGCTTGGAAGTAAAGGGAAACTGTGGAGTAAAAAAAACAACACTGAACACTACCTTCAGGGTCTGACTAATTACCCAAATGTACCCAAATGTAGCCAAATATAGCCAGAATGAAGCCAAATAATGGTCCTAGATGAATAAATCAGACTGCCAATCACTTCTCGACTAGTATTTGGTGTCAGAAAGTCACAAAAAATTGGAAAACTTACTTTAATCTGAGTTAATCGATCGCGTGCATGTACTGAGGGAGCGAGGAATTACCCAAATGTAGTCGCAATGAAGTCAAATAATGGTCCTAGATGAATAAATCGGACTGCCAATCACTTCTCGACTAGTATTTGGTGTCACAAAGTCACAAAAAATTGGTAAACTTAATTTAATCTGAGTTAATAGATCAAGTGCATGTACCTAACCTAACCTAATCTAACCTAACCTAACGTAACCTAACCTAACACAACACAACTCAGATTAAATTAAGTTTACCAATTTTTTGTGACTTCGTGACACCAAATAATAATCGAGAAGTGATTCACAGCACGAATTACGCTTATACGACCATCATTTGACTTCATTGCGGCTATATTTGGCTACATTTGGGTACATTTGGGTAATTAGTCGGACCGCTACCTTCATACCATCTGTAAACTATCTGTTTATATAGATCACAATAAGGGTGGGTCCAAGGATATATCCTTTTTCCATATTGAATGTACTGTACATTACATTGTACTCTGTTTTGAGCAAGTGTTTAATCTACTTCAATAATTTGTCTATGATGCCATGTGCCTGGATCTTGGAGGCTAGCCATCTACAACACATCTACTGTAGTAAGCCTTGGTCCATGTAGTCTGTTACATTTTCATGTAGAGTGAGTAAATTTGTCAGACAAGATTTTCAGTTCATGAAATCAGGTATTGGACATTAGCATCCCTCAAAATTTTGTCAAAGAGAATGAATGTATGTACTGTATGGGTTGTTAGGCTGATTGGCCTTATGTTTTCAGCTGCACCTTTTCTACCCTTCTTGTTATTGGAGTAACAGTGGCTGATTTCCAGTCCAAAGGCACTTTACCATGATCCGGAGATTTCCAAAATAGAAGTCTTAATGGAGTGTAAATCCCTTTTGTTACCTTGTTCATTACTTTGGTCTGTGCTCCGTCCACTCCTGGAGCTTTGATTTTTTTTTTATGATGTCATCTGTGATTACTATCTCTCATAATTAATTTTCAACCCCTGAGGTATGCATCATCTTAGTTGCTGGTACGTTATCCAGTGTCTCTTGTGTGAACACTGATACAAAGTGCTAATATTCATATGATGTCAGAGGGCCAACTCTTGGTAACTTGAATCTCAACTTTCCAGTTATTGACTATAGTGTTTTTAAGTCATCCCCACCTAACAAACAGATGATATTTTAACTTATAAGTTACTTACACTCATGTTTATTATGTATGTGAGTAAGAGTGTTTTGGTTGGATGGATATACAGTATGAACGATAGGGGTTGGATGTAAATGGGACTGCTAGTATGAGCCTATAGGCCTGCTGCAGTTTCCTCCATTCTTATGCCTTTGGTACAGTTGCTCTTCATTATCAGTGTACATTTGTAACATGTACAGTAGATGCACTGAATACTGTAAGTCAACAAAAATAATGATTGGTGACTATGTACTTGTACATTCTTTGCTTATGATATTTTTACATATTAAAAAATTTGAATGAATTATTTTTCAGATATAAACCATGTAGTACTTTCTGGCAGTCATGTGGTGGAGTTAGGAGCTGGGACTGGCTGTGTAGGGCTTGCTGCTGCTCTACTTGGGTTAGTCTGTTATTTCACTTTTATACTATACAGTACTGTACTATAATAATCTAAAGTTAATAACTTTTGTGCCATTTCATAAAGTTTCAGTATGGCAGCTTCCAAGTGAGAAGCGTTAGTGCATACCCTCAATAACTAGACTGCACTCATGTGAGGTGCCAACTAATGCTGGGTGGTACGTTTTCAGCCCCAGCTTGTGAAAGCAGTCTTAAGCACTCAACTTTCTAACCCAGAGCTACTGTTGTAGTCTTGGACGAGTTACGTAATCAAAAAGCCTGTTGGGTGAAAACAAAGTTTCCAGCACTCCAAATTTGTAATCAAAGATATAAACATCTGTATTAGTCTAAAAATATATTTTCAAAGGCAAATTGTCCTTGAAAGGATACCCAGTAAATATCAAGTTTACCCAAGAGGGCGAGAGTTGAGATTTTTTTTTCCTGTAAACACGCCCTCTCCTAAATTATACTTAGTTCAGGCTAGGATATAAAACAAAGTACGGTTAACCACTTATGTTCCAGCTTACCAAACCCATAGCCAGGGAGGGCTCGAGGGGCTGCAACAAAATAATACTCCCCTCATTTAATGCTAATTTAACTACGTACAATTTTTCTCAGTAAACATCATAAACTGTGGAAAAAAGCAAATAAAAGGTTTTGTTCTAATAATCCACAACTTATCACTTATCCCTACCATTAAATTGTTCAGTCTCTCTTATGATGTCATGAGTAGCCAGTTAAGTGATATTTTGAAGAAGAAATTAAGATTTAACAAACCTAAACTAGCTATTCTTACTATTTATAGTTAAACTTACTGATAATAAAGGTTTTAAACAATAACTGAGATATCAATGCCTTTGAACATGTTAGGATATGCTTTGGATAATTGTGACTTTCTTTCCATGATTGATGAAAAAATCTTTCCAATTAACCATTACTGCCTTTTTTATCCCATTATTTGTGACAGTTCTTAATAGTTCACTGAATTGGCTGGCTTTAACCTTTCCCACCAATTGTTGCATATGTGTTAGAATTTTATCTGGCTACCACCAACTGATTTTATTCAGCTTAGAGAAACCGGCAGGAGCCAGAGAGTTAAGTGTGAACTTGACTAAACTACGTGTATTATCACAGTGAAGAAGAACGTTCAGGCTGTAAACACAAGATGGTGTACTGTAATTGTGGAAAGCCCTGTAGGCATGAGCAATAAATCCCACTAACTCTGTCTGCTGCTAAATCTACCTTGGATCTCATGAGTCAGGAGTGTTAGGCTACTAGTTTGAGATACAGTACAGTACTGTATATTAAGGCAAATGATATAATGCAATCAACAGACTCCCACAGAGTACAATATTCATCATGACTGGAGACTCAAGAAGTACCTAACAGGAGGAAAGGTTCAACTCTGCCAAGAAAAGTGAGTTGTCCAAAATAAGTAAGGGAAACGTATATACAGTAAAACTTTTTATATCCAAAAATCTAAGGTAACAAAAAATGGTAGCTCTTGCTTCCAATGATAGCTAATTGGTCTGATTATTTTTTTTTTTTGTACAGGATTAGCCCAGCTGGGCACAGGTCAATAACCTACATCAGGGCTTGGGTGCAAAAATACAATAAAAACAATATTAATAATACTGTAATAATAAAAGTGAATAAAATTAATAAAAAAATTATAAGAAATATTAAATAAAAATATAATAATACTGTAATAATAATAATAATAATAATAATAATAATAATAATAATAATAATAATAATAATAAAGGACCATAAAAAATAAATAAATAAAAATCAATAGTGAGAAACAATATACAGTATGTATGTTATGTTGTCAAAGTAAGAAAAACAATTGAGACCCTGCAATTGTGTGTAAAGAAGGCAGAAAGTCAGATCAGCAACCTGGGACTTGTTCACAATTTTTGTGATACCATATGGCAGCAGAGTCTACCATTAGACAATAGTACATTATGCTTCCAATATCTTCCCAGGCAGTAGTACCTCCCTGTTTGGTAGCTGCCTACTACCACCAATGTTTAGAGTCGGCCTGGGTCTAGGCCTGAAGACATGTTGTGCAATACTGAGTGAATCATATGGTAAAAGCTACCAGGTTATAAAATGTAAATACAAGTTGAATTTACAAATCTGTTTTTGTATTTTACCATATAACTACAGTATACTGGTAATGCATTTTCTTTACTGTTTACAGAGCATCTCGGGTAACCATTACTGATCTGCCACAGTTTCTTCCCCTTATGAACAAGAACATCCTCCAAAATCAAGATAAATTTGAGTGTGCAGTAGAAGCTAGAGAGCTAACGTGGGGAAACACAGAGCAAGGTGTTGATCTCAGCACTCCAGACATTATTGTGGTTGCTGATTGTATTTACTATCAAGAGGTTAGCAACTGCCCTTTTCACCAAGCATTGTGAGAAAATTTTTTGTCATTATGGCATGAGTTTAACTGTGTGTTCAGGGGATAATTTGGAAGTTTAATGAGTAGCTATGGGATCAAAAAGACAAACTGCATGTACAGTAGTTGATAAATTAGAACTGTGTATAAAGGGCTCTGTCAGCAGGAAACTTAAAGCACTTGGGAGATTGAATAAAAAAATAGGATGGTGACCAAAGCTGGCAAGATGTGTCTGTTGTCTTCTTAAATACTCATGACTTTATGGCCCTCCTGCCGGTAGAGAGAAATATCCGTGCCAGTCCCTGTTTATAGGAGGAAAACTGTGATGAGAAATGGATGATCATTACAGCAGCACCCACCTGACAGTTAGGGAGTACAGTATAGTAGTCTACCATCTTATACAGTATACCATATTATGGCCTGCTCATTAACTTGAGAGGTACACTTTCCCTAAACGTATCAGCCCCCCTGGGCCTCATGTATTTGGAAATGAACACAATGACAGGCGCACAGCAGTCTTGGTTCGGTTGATATTTCTGATTCAAAGTTGTACCTTTCGGCTCTTTCTTCTTGCACCTGATAATCACCATACCTACTGTATACCACCTATTCTCTACATAATGTAATGAAATAGGATGAATTCTGATACCACATGCAAAACCAATAATGTCATGAGTAACCCCGCTGATTTATGCACCTTAGATACTATTTCAGCCCCAGGGGATGGTTGCTAAATAGGAATGTAACAGTACTATGTTTTCATGAATCGAGGTTACGGTGGAATCACTTTGAACAAAATATGAAACTATGATCCGATATTACATTTATTTTCAAATACAGTAATTACAGGTGTATTATGATGCCACATCCAATTAGAATGAGATAATGATTTACTGTATTTCGATGTTATTTCTACCTCAATTGATGAGGTTACACTTATGAATATAATGTATAATCTCATGATTAGTGCTGGTTATGGAACGTTATCTGATACACACTACGAGATGATGTCTGTTGGCGCAAGCTGTGTTTTCCATTGAGTCTCGGGTACTAGTGTCGGTGATGGATTTCCAGCAAAAAACTTCCACTATTTGACTGCCGCTGATATATTTTCACTACATTAATATCATTATATTATTCTACTAAAGATGGAGCAAGGTGATTCACCATAATTACAACAAATGCCAGAAACAATAACTGGCAACCTCACAGGTACTAGGAAGGCAGGCCTACCAACATAATGCAGGAATCACAATTAGTGATCGGATATATTCGTCCATTGTGACACATTGTATCGATGAGAAAAGGGGCCGATACTTTTATGGGAGAGATTTACATAGTTTTGGGCTCTCCCAGGAAATAGGATTTCATAATAATTTCTCCATTTACAGCCAAGAGGATGAAATAAGAGACTTGAAGAATGTCCATCATGCAGGACACTTACCACTCTTCGTGGTTTTCATACGCCAGTAGTACAGTATATGAAAGTGTTTTATCCGCTTGGGGTTAACATACATTTAAAGTGTATGAACGTCTGTGGAAACAAATGTCTTAGGAAATAAATTTTCCTCAGTCTCTTATATGCTCCTGGTACTCACTGAGCATCTGGTGTTGTCAGGAGCTTTCAGACACATGGCAACAGTGTTTATTGCACCCTCCTTGGTCTCGGCTGTGATTCAAATGTGATATGTGCACATAGTCCCCACAGGTTTTTTGCCTCCACTTTATGTTGGATTATTTTTTTGTTTGTGTTGTGTTTGTACTTGGCTGCTTTTGGTATAAGAAAAAATGGCCAACGATCATATACCATTGACATCGGGGACACAAAAAAGAACACTTTTGGCCATTCAGTGGGTTGAGAAATGGTTGTGAAGGATTTTGCTTGAAAAAGAAATTTCATGTCGGTACTCAAAGGCAGATCTGAGACATGATCAGGCCTTGATGGCAAGTATGTGGAGTGCTTAAGATAAAGTGATGAGTCTTATTGACTCTCACACTGACACACTCTCATTTGAGTCAAGAGGAGGTTGAGGAAAACATTTTATCATGTGATATCTCCCCCTCATGCTCACCTAAGCCCCCTGCTCAGCACCTGCGCTGCTCCTAGCCTCGCCAGGTCACCTAGTACCCTATAACCCAGGGTTTTGCCATCTCAGCCGACCCAGCTATCCTGCCTGCCATACCTGTCACTGACATAATGAGGGAAGGTGACATCCCTGACCTTCCTGACAACAAGTGGTGCAAAAGCAATAAGAAACCTAATGTATATCCTTTCCTGGGATGATTAGGCTCACTCCAGTTATTTCTTACTCATGAGTTGCTCCAGTATTTTACCGATGAAGTGAATCGGTATGTGCAGCAGTGCCTTTGCGGTGGTGGTGGGCTGGCGGCTTGGTACAATGTGTCTATGATGGAAATGGCTCATTATTTGGGCCTATCATGATGGGTCTGCTAACCACTGCTCGCCAGAGAGTGTACTGGTTTGTAGGAAAGGGTTATCATGACCCAATCTTGCACGAGACGATGCCCTTCAAACAGGTTCAAACAACTGTCAATGTCTTTTCATTTATGTAATGATGAGGCCTTATTTTTTTCGTAAAAAAATTGAGTTCCCAACATTATATCATGCTGAAATAACCTTTTTTCAGGATATTTTATTGAAACAAACTTGTAGATTATTTATTCAGTACCATTACAGTGCCAAATTCATCTCGCGGCCAGATTTATGGGACTCAAACAACTAAAATAATTGGAGGGGGCCAGGTCTTGAGTGTTATTCAACAAGGAACTGAGTGAATTGAATTTGACTGTTTGTGGTTAAGGAATTGTAATGAAGTAAATTTGTGAGGCACAAGCACTAGCTTGTACAAGTGTACTGTAATGTACCAGGTACTGTACTTGTGGATTTAGTTCTGACCTTAAATGAATGGAGTAGGGATGGCTGCTTACTTCATTCTTTCAGCATAAATATCATCTGCATGACTTGAGTCATCCTACCACAAAGCATTCCACATCCTCCTTGTACTGACGAGCCTAGCATTGAGGCTTTTAACAAGTATTGGATCTTGTACAATATTTATCTTGTCCCTTTCCATAAGCTATGTTTACAATCTTTTTTCTGTACTCTTACATTTCAAAAAGGTGTACTGTATTATTATCAATTATTATACTGTACTGTACAATACTGTACTGTTCTTTACTGTATGTTTATTGAACTGAATGTATTTCTACTGATTGAAACTTAGTTGTTATTTTTTGTAGTGATCCATTTGTTTCTCATTATAGCAATTCTAATTTTTTAATGTTTGTGTATTTTAGAGTGCTTCCTGTATTTAGCACTTCATTCTTTACTGGGATGAATAATGTCTTAACAGATTATTGTGATCTTTGATGTTTATTTATCTCTTCTCTTTGGTAGTCATTGGAGCCACTTGTATCAACACTAGGGAGCCTCTGTGGCAGGAGCACCACCATCATCCTGAGCTACGAGGAGCGCACCACAGGAAATAAACCTCAACTCCAGCATAGTTTTTTTGAATTAATGGATAAACACTTCAAGAGAGTCCAAATTCCCTCAGAAGAACAACATGAACTGTACAGAAGTAGTGATATACATTTATTTAAATTCCATTTAAGATAATATAATACAAGTTAGTCAAACAATTGTTGCTTCCCACTATATGACAAAATCTGCAGTAGAATATTTCAACAAATTTCAGACATTATGATATAGTTACCAGCAATTGAGATATGGATATGATTGATACTATCTTGTTTTCAGTGTAGGAAGGTGTCCAAAAGAGGGTCTTTTTTATCCCATATGGCATTCATGTTTTAAACCTTATACTGTGGCTGTTGGAAAGTGGTTTACCACTGTGTGCGCAATGAATACACACACAAAATTAAAAGCTTTTAAAACATGTAATATTCTTATGAAATTGAATATGCGCATACAGAAGAGTAAAAAATGAAAATACAAATCATTTACCAGTACTTCTGTTCTGTACTACTTACATTTGTTCAGGAGTGTGACGGTCAAGTGGATATACTGCTTGCCTCTTGTTCCATGGGTTGGTGGTTCGATTCCTAGACATTCCCAGTTCACCCAGCTGTAAATGGGTACCTAAGTTTAGTACATGGGGAAGTGAATTCAGTTGAGTGCAGTACTGGTCATGCTGCCCCCTTGTGTACAGTGTACTGTATCCACACTGTCCCTAATGGGCAGTCATGCCTGAGGGACTTTCACTTTTCACATTTGTTTAGCCATTATGGAGTGTCTAAGTGAACATGTTGGGGCTGAGTTACTATAGGGGAAAAGGGAGGAGCAGACTGTTACTAACAGCCAATGAACATGATGAAAGAGGTACTTAAGGGCTCTATTGAGGTGTGGGTAGCACGAGGAGGCCTACTGGGACACATGACATACATTGTGCAGTTCTAAAAAGTGGCTGTTCTCCTATGATGGAAGTTGCAGTTATACAGTATAAGTGGCCTCATATGAAGGATGTCACAGTTTAAGAGTTAAATGCTGGCACTCTCAGGTGACTAACAACAGGGAAAACTATACACAGTATCTTCAGGATGAATGAAGTGTGATGAAAGAGTAATGCAGGCAGTTGTTATATCAGCTAGATACAAACAGCTCAGTCACAAAGATGCTTAAATATATTACAGTACTGTACTGTACTTCTCTGTGTTATCTCTCAAAGAAAAATGAAATGGTTGACAAGCTGCAATTGCTCAGGTAAAAATACATGTACTGTAGTACCAAATGTCACTTGTTTGTTACAAAGGAATTCTGGGAAGTTCTTGGAACTGGCCCTTGATGTTTTCCTTGTAATTTTGTATTTGAAGTTTCAAATCTATTTTCTTATTGTTTACCAGCAGCATATTAACAACATTTCCAAGTACAGTAAACGTATTTTAATTTATTGATCTTTCCTCACAGCATTAATAATTCAGGCATTTTGTTAAAGAATTCCCTACTTTTGTTTGACATTGAGTAAACAAGTCACTTCTTACTAACTTAAGAATATGAAGATATTGTAAGTTAGAAGAGCAATGGATGATCAGGTACGGTACTCTGAAAATTTACATAGTATTAATATTTTGACAAACGTGAGGAGTTAAGTTTTATGTTTGAATTTTATTACATGCAAAATGTCAAGTAAATGTACTGTATTACCAGTACTGTCTGGCGAAATTACTATATCCATGAGATGGTCTCGTGACTATTGTATATGTGGTACAAATACTGTACACTGAAACATAAAGTAAACAAAATTGGTACACACACAGACTTCTTAGCATACACAATCATTCTTCCTACCTGTATTCCAGATGAATGATCATGGGTTTGGTGTCCAAATGGAGTGCAAGACTGGGTTCTCTGTTTGCACACTAACCCCTGTGTACTCATTAATGTGATTACTGTACACTATTGTGTGTGACTGCTGCTGGTAGAACAACCCTTCTGTAGACTAACTTCCTGTCAAGAGGGTGGAGTAACTCATTTGTTGCTGAATGCTAAGAATAAGATAAACTACCTATTTTCACAAAGTACCTGAAGATCACGGATAGACAAACAGTGAAAAAAACAGTAATAAAAGCATACACTGTACTGTAGTATGGGTTTCAGCAGAAATTTGCTCTCAAGAAGAGCACTTATTGCAATATTATTTAGGATACAGTGAAGTTGAGGAAATTAAAAAATTAGCAGGACATGGAGGTTGCACTCTCTCATTGAATCTTTAGCAACCTAGAGTTTGAGTAATTCTTGTTGGACAGTTTTCCTGACAGTAAGGAAAAAATAAGATCAGTGTAATTAATTTGAATTGATTTGTATTAATATCTTGCCTTTAGATAAAGAACAGTACACTGTTTGCTTACTTGTGTATAAGGCCTTGTATCAATCATCGAAGCCATTTCTTGGTTGGACCCCTCTACAGTTTTGGAAGACAGTACATGATTTCCAACTGACCCTCTCCCTAGATAGTTTGAGACAGAGCTTACTGTAGCTGGAAATATATTGGATGCATTAATACAAGGAAAACTAAGTACAGTACATAATTTTGTTATTATTTTTTTTATTAATTAAATATTATTAAATTAGGAGCTATTGGATATGTATACAGTACAGGTATATTTTTTTGTATTATCACAACAAATGTAAGTGCATAGCAAATTGTGTTTAGCATGCAAGACCTTTTTCTTTGGGAGGGGGGGGGGTTCTATTTACTGTAGGGTAGATCAGGGAAATTTGAATATCTTTTAATGAGGTGTCTGGTTCCCTTGATTGAATCAATGTAAAAGTGAGAGATGAAGAAACTGTAAAATCAACAATATAAGAACACAGAGGGAAGTGTTTCAAAAGAATTTGTGAAAACAATGTGGATCCTTTGAGGATTATTTTAGATGGTCCCTAATGAACACAATATGATCCTGTTACACAACTGACCAAAAATCCACCAGAATACATAAGATGTAGCAACTGTGAATGATGAAGGAAAAGTGGTGCTGAAACCAGCTCAGTTGTAAGAAGCTGATGTGGCTGGAGGAAGTTTAGGGACTTGCTGCCTTTATTGATGGCAAGGGGACTTTCGGTCACTGTCCCTTCACATAAAGGAAGGGTGTATACAACTGGTGTGATTTGTGTGATGTTGTTTAGCAGTGAAACATGGTCAGTTAAAGAGGATGACATGCAAGTTTAAGTGAGCTGAAATGAGAATGGTAAGCATTGGAAAAATTTTGTGTAGACACAGGCTGAGATGATCTGGGCATGTGAAAAGAATGGATGAGACCAATTGGATTAAGAGGTACATGAGTCTCAACGTGGAGGGGAAGGGACCTAGAGTAAGGCTGAGAATAACATGGGGTGAGGTTACAAGATGACATTAAAAATTTTATAACCTGACAAGAGAGTCTGCAAGAGAGCACATACCATGGAGAGCTGCCACCAGGTGATCGCAGCTAACCCATGCAAGTGTGAAAAACAGCCAAAAACGATGATGGTAATACATGTGAGAATGATGATGACATTATAATATGTGAAGAATAAAATTGAGGGAGTAGGAAAATGTGAATAATGAAGAAGAGAAGTAGAATCCAATGCTGTAAGTACAGTATTTAAGTGCATGAACTAAAAGTAACAAGCAGATAAGTGCATGAAAAAACCTAGATATAGCCTATGTAGATAAATGCTTGAGGTAAAAATTACTAGTAAATAAGTATGAAGAACCATTATTAATAGATAAGCTGCTTAATTAAAGACTAAGAATACCTGTATTGTACATGAACACTTATAAGGAGATACGTTCCTGAAGAAAAAGTGACAAGTAGGTAAGTAAGTACATAAACCCCTTATAAATATCTGATGTAAAATTAACAAAGATAAATATGTGAAGTAGAAGTTACAAGTAGACAAGTTCTTAATGTGAAGTAGAAGTTACAAGTAGACAAATTCTTAAAGTACAGGTAAATGAAGAAGATTTATAACTACCGGGTAAGTAGCTGAAGTTACATGCACATAAGAGCCTGAAGCAAAAAATACAAGTTAACAAGTGCATGAAATATAAGTCACAAAGGAAATTCCTGAAGTAAAAAATATGAGTTAACAAATGCCTGAAGTCATGATATGAGTAAACAAATGCCTGAACTAAAAGATGAGAAAACGAATGCCTGCAGTAATAAAATTATTAAACAAATGCCTAAAGTAAAATATATGAGTGAACAAGTGCATGAAATAAAATATATGAGTAAACAAGTGAATGAAAGACGTTTATTCCCCCACGGGATGTGAGGCAAGGACAAAATCCTAAACAAACCAGAGGAAGCATTCACGAGGGAGTTTTCTGTTATAGGAAGCAACATGAACTCAATAATGTTCTTTAATAACAAACACTACCATTTATCACTTCAGGTTCGTCATTGCGTCCTGGGAAATGTCGGGTTTACTTATCTTATGTGTCGTATATTTCATGTTAAAGAAACATTGTCAATCTTATCAACAACATTAAAAGTACGTGTACGATAAACTGAGCAAGTGTTTGGGAACGACAGACTACACAATTGAAATTATATTTATTGTTCTTGTAATCTGATGCATCAGATTTTAATACATTATTAAATTTTGACAGCAATAATTAAGTAGTCGCCCTTCTCCAAAAGTTTACATTAACGAATGTAAAAGTCTACACATGTAATATTTGTGGATGTTACAGTAACATAATGGGTTATCCCAGGACACTTATGAGGGAATGTTTTCTTCAATGTCAATGAGACCATAAGTGATATTTACTACAAGCCATTTAAATTTCAATGTTACCATCAAGCCATAACAAACTATTCTAGTGACATCTAGTCTTGTTCTACTAACGTAACCAAAATTCGATACTTTACACTACGTCATCTTCAGTGTTCTAGTTAACTCCATATATTAGACAAGTAGAGTATTCCGTGCAGATATCTTCTTCAAATACCTTAAACCCATATATACGTCCGTCATGTTTCTTCACTCAAAAGGTGATAGGTAGATATTTATTCAGTAAGATTTTCATACTAATTTACATTGATTCAGCACATCCAAAGACAATGCTGAGTGACCGGGAAGTGGCAGCCAAGTGAAAGTGGTGGCCTAGTCTGAATGACCAGCTCGAGAGACACCAGGCAAAAAGGTAGCCTAGCCTGAGTGACTGATGTGGCAGGGAAACATGGCACTGTAGCATAACCTAAGTGACCAGTGTTGTAACTTAGAATGAGTGTCCAAGTGATCTGGTAGTATTGTCTGGGTAACTAGTGCAGTGGCAACTTAGCCTAGGAGAACAGGTGATGCAGACAGCCTCAACTGAGTGACCCGTGAAGCAGGCAACGAGTAGTCAGTCATAACCAGGGCTGAATTTAGACACGTGGAGGCCCTTTAGGTGCCTCACACTGTTGACCCCCCCCCCCCTTTTTTTTAATAAGTACATATTTCAGAAAATACATCACGAAGGTAGTTATATCAATCAGTAGGTAGTAGGCCGCTATCAAACGGGGGTACTACCACCTGGGAAGATATTGAAGCATAATGTATTGTCTAATGGTAGACTTTCTGCCTCATTTACACACAATTGCAGGGTCTCAATTGTTTCTCTCACATGACAACATAACATACATATATCGTTTCTCACTAATGATCTTTTTTTTCATTTTTGTATTTGTTTATTATTATTATTATTATTATTATTATTATTATTTTATAATTATTTTTATTTTTGTATTTTTATAAAATTTATTGATTTTTTTAATAAGTATTATTATTATTATTATTATTATTATTATTACTACTACTACTACTACTACTACTAACACATTTTCGCCCCCCAGGCCCCGATGTGGGTCAATGACCTGTGCCCGGGTGGTGCTAATCCCTGTAAAAAAAAATATAAAATACAAATAACGACTGAACACTGCAGATGTCGGCCAACACGGATCACGACCATCTCTGTTCAATAAAAAATAATAATAAATCACTACAATAAAATAACCTATTTTAAATACAGATTTTCGTGTTGCTGTAGCTGTACTTGTAAATTAAATATTTGTATTTGAGAAGTCACAGCCAAGAAGTATACACATATTGAGGAAAAACAAATCAGTTTAAGCCATTACTGTACTGCCACTGTGCTTCATTTGCCTTGTGGTAATGCGGTAGCTTAACTTTTACTTTTATCCTCTTCCCCAGTGTTGGCCAAGCTTGGTCTTGAAAGAGCTCACACTTGGTGCCTTCACAACACTCTCTGGCAGATAGTTCCAAGAGATCACAATTCCCACTCCGAAAAAGATCCCCCCCCCCTACCCCCCACCAATTTTCTGGACTTGCGGCTTCTTCAATCTTGAGCTCTGACCCCTTGTTGGGCGGGCGTCCGCCAGCTCCAGGTATGGACACTCGACTGAGTAGTGCTCTCTGACATGTTTATAAACTTCAATTAAATCACCCCTTGCCCGTTTATAGTATAAGCTAGGCAGTTGCCTAGCCCTCCTTTGGCCATTTTCAATGAACTGACAGTCTCTAGCATATCTCGGGGACCAGACTGGTTGACAGTACTCCAGACGGGAAGCACCTCACTCTTGAAGATCATTACGAGGGACGACCTTCTTATAAGACCTACTAGATTCGTTGCCTAATTCACCTTCTTCTCGCAATGGCCGAAGAACTTAAGTTCATTGTCAACATACACACCCAGGTCCTTTTCACATTCAGTCTCTATTAATGCAGTCTCTTCGTCTTGCTGGGACATGTGATACGCCTACTTACTGTTCGTGCGACCCAGGTGCGTCCTGTCAGGAAGATAGTTCGTATCTTCTCTTGTGAACAACGAGGAAAATAATTTGTTCCACTCCTCCATCTTATCCTGGTCTGAATCTGCGTAACTACAATCTTCAAGCTTCAGGTCCGATACCCCTACTCGCATTTTTAATTTCGATTTTGCGTAGCGGTAAAAAGATGTTGGACTTGACTTGACCTCGCTCGCATTGCGCCTCTAGAACTCTTTTTCAGCCCTTCTATACTCTGACTTTGCTTGGATCCTAGATCTGGCACACATCCTCCTGTCCTGCTCATCATTTCTCCTAATCCACGTCTTCAATTTCTGAGATTTTTTCTTAACTTTGTCGACCGCCGCACGGTTCATGTGTAACGGTCTCCTTGTATTCCTGGAGGCACTGTGTTTGGTCTTAAGTACATATTTATCGATCAAATAGTTTATTTTACTGGCTATGATACCTGAGACAGTTGGAGGCTTGTGGGAGGAAATACAAATGAGAGAGTTGATTTGTTTACAGCGAGCCTAACAAACTCGGGTCTTGCCTAAGGCGAGAGATGGAATTAATCTACCCTGGCATTTAGACTCCCACCCAACAAACTCTTCCTGGATAAACTGGGCATGCACAAGCTGTACTGGCTATGTCGGATATGTTAAGCACTGTTGGCAAGTCTAGATATATCTGAACCTGCGCCAGTGTTGGTCAAGTCTGATCTTGAATTAATTCTTTTAAGTTAAACTATGATCTTTTCGTTGTTGTTAGTTCAGTTTGTTTTTGAGTCAGATTACTTCATCAGGTTAAATTTCCACACAATCCCAATGACCTTTCGATCGTTAATTCCTTTTATGTGTAATACTTTCACCTTATGATCTGCTCGCAAACAATATAGTACTGCCTGTATCTCAGATCTTACGTGACCCCCCTCTCTCATTTCACAGGGTAGTAAAGAGGCCAAGTGGTATATGTACACAATTCTCAGAAATAAACATGAATTACTACCAATACTACTGTTGTCATCGTATGTTTACGAATTCATGTTATATGACGAAACTAAA